TCTCCTCCTCCTCCTCCTCCTCCTCCTCCTCATTGTCCCCCTCATTCTCCTCCTCCTTTCTCCTCCTCCTCCCTCTCCTCCTCATTCTCCCTCTCCCCCTCCTCGTCCTCCTCGGACTCGGGGCTCGGATTTCGGACTGGGGGCGACACGCGCGGGGTCGACACGCGGGGGCGGTTCACCCGCGCCGCCGTCCCCCCGCTCGTCATCCGCAGGCCCACTGCGTGCTCGGGAGGCGTGCCCACGCCAGCCCAGGATGCATCGGAGACCCCTGCCAAGAGCCACCCCGCCTGCCTCCAGGGCGCCCTATGGGCTCCTGGAGTCCCCATGGCTCTGCGGTGGAGCGCGCGGCGCTCCCACACCGGAGAGCCATGGACGCCCGGGGCTCTCGGGGCTCTCGGAGGTTTGCTGCGGACCCGCCTCCACGCTACAGTGAGCGGCTTGAAGAAGGAACACGTACTTTTCAAAAGGGGCTCGGTCGTTCCTTAGGCTTGCATGCGTTATTTACAGTTCCTTATGCGTTATTTGTTATTCCCCACATGCATAGTGGGGTTCTGGTTTTCTTTCCCTGCCGCGTCGCACCCGCGTTTCTCCTCTTCCTCCTCACCCCTCCTTCCCTCTTCCCTCCACACATCCAGGGGCTGGTGTGATGATTCCCTCTCTCTTTTTCTGGTTCCCCACATCAGCACAAGCAGACACATGAGCACACAGCAGACACACATCCACAGTCGACATCACAGTCATCACATACATCCACCATACACGCAGCACACAGACACACAGCACACAAACAGCACCCGTACACAATACCAGCACAAACAGACACAGCACGCACACGCAGCAAACAGGCAAACAGCACACAGACGTGCAGGGGGTGGTCTCTCACCGCGGTTCTCTATCCGTCTCAGGGTCGCGGGGCGTGGCAGGCGTGGCACTTTCTCGACGCCAGAGAGGGTGCGCAGGGGGTGGTCTCTCACTGGTCTCTCTATCCGTCTCAGGGTCGCGGGGCGTGGCAGGCGTGGCACTTTCTCGACACCAGAGAGGGTGCGCAGGGGGTGGTCTCTCATTGGTCTCTCTATCCGTCTCAGGGTCGCGGGGCGTGGCAGGCGTGGCACTTTCTCGACACCAGAGAGGGTGCGCTGGGGGTGGTCTCTCACTGGTCTCTCTATCCGTCTCAGGGTCGCGGGGCGTGGCAGGCGTGGCACTTTCTCGACACCAGAGAGGGTGCGCAGGGGGTGGTCTCTCACTGGTCTCTCTATCCGTCTCAGGGTCGCGGGGCGTGGCAGGCGTGGCACTTTCTCGACACCAGAGAGGGTGCGCAGGGGGTGGTCTCTCACTGGTCTCTCTATCCGTCTCAGGGTCGCGGGGCGTGGCAGGCGTGGCACTTTCTCGACACCAGAGAGGGTGCGCACTCACTGGTCTCTCTCCATCCGTGCGCTCTGGGTCGCGGGGCGTGGCAGGCGTGGCACTTTCTCGACACTCAGAGAGGGTGCGCAGGGGGTGGTCTCTCACTGGTCTCTCTATCAGTCTCAGGGTCGCGGGGCGTGGCAGGCGTGGCACTTTCTCGACACCAGAGAGGGTGCGCAGAGGGTCGTTTGTCATTGGTCTCTCTATCCGTCTCAGGGTCGCGGGGCGTGGCAGGCACTTTCTCGACACCAGAGGGGGTGCGCAGGGGGTGGTCTCTCACTGGTCTCTCTATCTGTCCCAGGGTCGCGGGGCGTGGCAGGCGTGGCATGTTCTCCACTCCACAGGAGGTGCGCAGGGGGTGGTCCGCCACCGCGGATTCTATCCGTCCCAGGGTCGCGGGGCGTGGCAGGCGTGGCATTTTCTCCGCGCCACGGGGGGTGCGTAGGGGGCAGGCATCGCGGGTGCATTCCATCAGTTGCACTTGCATGGGTTTGCGCAGTATCCAGATCTGTAAGTACTCTGGCTCAAGCCAGCTCGGAGCGCCAGGGTACCTAATCGAAGGCCGCAGTTGGTTGTTGCGCAGGCGCGCTAGCCATGCCGCCTAAAACTGCCATGGGCGAGCTGCCGCCTCCGTGCTCGTCGCTGAAGAAATCAGGATGGCGGCGAGGTAAGCTTGGCAGGCTTACGCTGCTGCTCTGAAGCGACGGTGGTCCCCGCATTTCACGCGTACCGCCGCCAGCTGAAAAATTGGTGGCCCAATACCTTGCACGTCCAGGGCACAGCGGTATCGGCGGGGCAACGGCCACCAACATCATTCTCACATGCTTCACTTCAGCTCTCATCACTCCAGCCATAATATAAGTATGTGGGGTTCCTCGGTAGCGTAATTTATCGTTCCTTGTGCGTTATTCCTTGGGAAAAAAAAGGGGCTTCGTTCCTTATTTATCGTTCCTTTGGTCAGGCCGATGACTGTACACCCACAGAGGCAGCACAGCTGGACGTTGCCGCCTGCGCACGGCGCGCGGGCGCGCACGCCTCCCGCAAGGCCGCGCGCGGAGGGCCGGGGCTGCCCCGCCTCCCTATCGAGCTCCTGGCGTGGCAGTGTCTCGACACCGGGCGCGTGCGCCTGGCGTCGGGCCCCGGAGCCTCCTCCTCCTCCGCCTCCTCCTCCTCCTCCTCCTCCGCCTCCTCCTCCTCCTCCTCCTCCGCCTCCTCCTCCTCCTCCTCCTCCTCCGCCTCCTCCTCCTCCTCTTCCTCCTCCTCCTCCTGCTCCGGCTGGCAGAATGCCTCGGAAAGGCGGGGCCTCGGTGTCGGGTCGTGGGTTTCTCGCGAGGCTGCAACGTTTCCGTGATGTCGGGTCTCAGCGTCTTCTTTCCCCTCTTCCCTCGTCATTCGTCGCCTGGCGCGTTCCTCTCCCTCCTGCCTTCCCCACCATCCTGCCCGTCCTCCCCCTCCTCCTCCTGCTCCTCCTCCTTCCCTGAGCGTTCCCAGGCCCAGGCCCGCTGCGCGGTCTTGCTTCGGGGGCATCGAGACGGGGGTCAATGCCAACGAGGGTCGGCCAGAGCGCCCGATCCTGCAGGTGCAGGGCCAGGGTCCAATTGGCCCGGGCTTGGGTGCAGGATCCGGCAGGATCTTGCAGGCTCCTCCGCGTTGGCCCTGGCTTGGGCGCAGGATCCTGCAGGATCTTGCAAGATTCTGCAAGGCCTGATGGACCCGGGTCTGGGTTGACCCGGGTCGGAAGGTCTCCGATTGCTGCTCGCGTGCAGGCGCGGGCATGGGCCGCGGCTGGCCCCTGCCGGCCGGCGCGCGCCGTCGGAGGGCGGTGGGCCCTCGTGTCCACCTCTTCGTTTCGTGGGCACGGTAGGTTTGCGTCGTGTCGACCAGCGGCGACCCCAGCGTGGCGTTCAAGGTTGAACGCCGCTGGCGACCCAGAATCGATCGACGTTGAACGATCGGACGTTGCGGCAGCGGCCGATCGTTCAAGGTTGAACGATCCCTGCGGTGTCAAAAACCAACGCTGGGGTCGGCACGACACAAACCTGCCGCACCCGGGTGGGCGATGTCCTGATCCCAGAGGCTTGCGCCACTCCGTTGGCCCCCAGAAGAGGGAAGAGGTCCACGGTGAGGCTTTGGGGGCACTGTGGAGACCGTCCGGAGCCCTTGGGGGGCTCTTCTGGGCCGCTTGGGGCCTTTCGGGAGGTTCTTGGGCGCCTGCTGGCGGTCTCGGGGGCCCTGTTGAGGCGGAGGGTTCGAAATTTCAGCTTCTGTTACCCCTCTTGGGCCCCTCTTGAGCCCTGCTCTTGGGCCGTCTTGTAGCCCTCTTGGGCCGTCTCGGGGCCCTCTCGGGGGCTGCTTGGGTCGTCTTGGAGCAATCTCGGGGGATTCTTGAGCCGTCTTGGACGCGTTTGCCCTTTTTGGTGGGAATTTGACGATCTGTGCGTCTAAAGGCCCTTCTGGTGATCCTCTTGAAGAAATATTGGGGTGTCTTGGAGGCTTCTTAGGCCGTCTTGAGGTCATATCTGGTGTGCCTGAGGCCCCCTCGGCGTGTTCGAACCCAGCTTGAGCCAGCCTCGATGGCACCTTGGGCATCTGGGAGGCCACGGAGTGTAGACTTCGAGGCTCCGGAGGCCGCCTGAGGCCTCCCGGGTGCGTTGACGAGCTCGGCCCCCCTCCTCCTGCTCCCTTCGCAACGGCAGTTCGGACCCCAGGGGAGGGGGCGAGGGGAGGGGGACAGCCAGTTACCTCGCACGCCTTCTCACCCCCGGCAAGCGGGGGGCCTGCGGATTTGTGCAGTGCGGCGTCCCCGAGGTCCCACGGCCTCTTTTCTCGGGGACCGGCTCTGCCTACAGTCGGGGCGCTGAAGAAGGACCCCTTTCCATTGGGGAGGGGCTCTGTGTTCCTGAATTGTTTCGCAGCTTGCCTTAGGTCTTCCTCAGATGTTCGATATGAAATCGAAGTTTAACTTATGGGAAATAGGGGCCTCGTTCCTCATTTAGGGTTCCTCAGGTCAACGCCCCGACTGTACTGCGTCGATGCTTGACGGCCCCTGGGCCCGGGAGGTGCCGAGTCCGCCCTGATCTGCGCTGGCGCGAGCACGTCCGGGCCTACATCGGGCCTGTGCCTCTTACAGGAGGCATATCCGAGAGTGGTCGAAGAATAGTCTGGGGACGATTTTTTGGTTCGTGCTGGACTATTCGGGAGGGTTCTTGGGGGACGATTCTTTGATGAGAGGCTGGACTGTTTGGGAGCATCCTTGGGGGTCTTCTCCATCTCTCGTCCCGAATCCGCCTGTGGGGGGACCTGCCCGACCGAAGCCTGGGCCTCCCTGATGCCAGAAACCTCAGGATGGGAAAAACACACAGACACAAGTAATCCTAGATCCCCAGGAAAATATAGGAAAGTACGGGAAGTGGGGGGGAAGACAGAAACCCAGAAAAAATATGGGAAAATATAGGGGGATCATCTTATTTGTGTGTATTTACCTGTGTGCCCCAGGGCCCCTTCGAAACCATTCCTGCGGCGGTGCTGCCGTCGTCCCCCTCTGCGGGCGGCCTCGCGCTGCGCCCCGAGGCCCGCCCGCTGCCGGGCCCCCGCAGGCGGGCGCCAACCTCCACATCGAGCCCGCCGTGCACCTGCCCGGGGTGCCCCCGCCGCCGTACCTGGGGAGGCCGCGGCCCAGCCAGGGGGGGGGAGCGCTGGGCCCTCCCCACCTACTCGCAGCCGAGGAGGAGGAGGAGGAGGAGGAGGAGGAGGATGGAGAGAGGAGGAGGGAGGAGGAGGGGGGAGGAGGAGGAGGAGAGGAGGAGGAGGAGGAGGAGGAGGGGGAGGAGGGGGAGGGGAGGAGGAGGAGGAGGAGGAGGAACAGAGAGGAGGAGGAGGACGAGGAACATCAGGGTAAGGGGGGTGTCGCTTCGCTCGGGCGCCCCCGGGCAGAGGGTGCCCCCGCCGCCGTACCCGGGTAGGCCGCGGCCCGGCCGGGCCGGGAAGAGGACCGCGGCGGAGAGGAATTGTCGACTGCACGCAGGAGTGACCTTTCGCCGGCGGGCCCAAAGAGCTCCCCCGATCGCGGAGCGCGAAGCGGCAGCAGCCGCTTGCGCGCCCAGCTTCGGCCACCCCGCGTCCCCCGTGAAGCCGCGCACCAAAGGTCACTCTTACCCAGGGTCACTCGCACGTGTAGCCGAAAGCTTGAGTCGGGAGTGTCGCTCTTGTCGGGGGACGATGTTGCTGCCATGTTGAACTATGTTTGAATATTCGTTCGACTGTTCTTGAGTTTTCTTCCAAAATCCGCCTGTAGGAGGACATTCCCGACCTAAAATGATTCCCTGAAACCTTGGCGTTGCGATTCGTTCGCGCCGGGCCTGGTTTCACAGATCGATCTGGCTCGAAACATGCTTTCGAAAGATGGGATCTAGGGCTACCTTTGCGAATTTTCGTGATGATTTGGTTCGCAACGTCGGATCTCAGGGTATGGTAGAATTGTATCGTGCCGGCGCAGCAGAGAACCCGCCGCGGGCGTTTAATGTTCAACGCCGTCATTGGCCCAGAATCGGCCAGCCTGGATCGACCTGGCGATTGAAAAAAGCCGTGGGTCGTTCGAGGCTTGACCGACCCACGCGATGTTAGAGACCAACGCCAGGGTCGTCAGTCGTCACGACACAGCCTGCCTAACAGTCAGAGGTGGAGCAAGCGGTTTGGCGTGCCGACGACACATCAGGGAGGAGGGGCTCTGAGCTGAGCCACCTGTTCCCAGGAAGCCGACCAGGGTCTCGTTGCCACCTAGAGGAGGACAGAGTACCGATTCCCGCCACCCATCCAGCGACGGCTCGGCTGGTTCCGCCTCGACATCCTGGCCAGGACGCGCCCTTGGAGAGGCCTGGGGAGTAATTAGCCAGATCGGTATCTGATTGTCCCCCCCAAGCAGGCGCCAGAGGAGACAGCGGCCCAGAGAGAAGGAGCCCTGCAGACGCTTCGGGAGTCGGGCAAGTTGATCGTGCCGTCATCGACGACCCCTGCGGACCGTTGCGGGGCTCCTGCTGCAGCGTGTGAGCTCAGACTGCGCTCCGCCCCCTCTCCGCCTCCACGCCTGCTCAACTTGAATGCTACGGGCTCGGAAGTGATTCTCACTGCGCCACACCATGGCCCCAAGAACGCACGACACACAAATGAAGGCTTCTGCGCCCAACCCCGTCCGCACCAGCGGGCGCGCGGTCCAAACGCCCCCCCTTGTAAATTGTTCAACGGGCTTCCGCCTGCGGGGGGGGGCCATGGGTGATCTATTTCTTGAATGCGAATTCACAAAGGAGAGTGGATGGACCCTGGTTTATGCGATTCTGCTTGGGCCGTTCACGAAATCTGCCTGGTTTGGCCTCTGATTTGGCCTGGTTTGGCCACGCGCCCCGCCAGAGACATCCTCAGAATTTGCCTGGTTTGGCCCCTGGTTTGGTCTGGTGTGGGCCCAGTTTCGCCTGAGGCGTCCTCGACATTTGCCCGGTTTGGACCTGGTCTGGCCTGGTTCTGGCCTGGTTTCGTCGGAAACATCCTCAGCATTTGCATAGTTGTGCCATGGTTTGGCGGAATGTGGGTCCGGTTTCGCTTGAGACGTCCTCGCAAGTTGCTTTGTGTGGGTCTGTATTGCATGGTTTCGGCTCAGTTTCGCTTGAAACGTTCTCAGTATTTGCATGATTGTTCTTTCATGTGGTCGTATCCGTCATGGTCGCAGTGTGGTCCCAACACACAGTGGGATGTGTCACGTTTTCCTCGACATGGTGAATTTACACGCGTCGTGGTGCGCGTGTAAAACAAAAGTAATGGCACGGCGTCGTGAGTACACATTGTGGCCCACATGTAACTCGACTGCGCTTCAAAATGGCGGGCGGCATTGACGCGGACATTCCCAGCACGATGCGGATCGGCATGGGCGTATGTGGTGGCTTTAGGAGAAAACCTTTCCGAGGCTGATGTTGTCTCTCACCCCAGTCCGCGTAGGCTTTTGCACGCAAGATGTCATTATTCGGTCTTTTCGATGTTTCTTCACACCCCGTTCGTTTGCGGTCCTTGAAAATGGTGTTGCCTCTGCGGCGTGGGCTTCATTTTTGGATCGGCGCTCTGCTCCCGTCTTTCAGAATGACGATTTGGCCCCAGTGTGGGCCTCACTTCTGGGTCCGAGTGATTCCTCGTCGTTGTCGCCCCGCTCATTTCCCCTTTCTTTGTCGTGCTGCTCGTCCCGCTTCTCCCACTTCAGCTTCTGTTGCTGATGTTCATCCTCGTCGTCCACTTTCCTCATCCTCCTTTTTCTCCTGCTCATCCTGTTGCTCATTCGCCGCCTCCTCGTCCAGTGTACGCAGCTCCCCTTTTGTTTCCGATTCTTCAGAATTCCAGATCCGATATGACGCGCGTAGGTGGCTAGAGAAAGTATCAGCGCAATGGGAAGACATGGGTGGGAGGGGTAGGATGTCAGATATGGCGCGAGCGCGCCTAGCTGCCTAGCTTGATTCCCCCTTTCACCCGTTCCCACCTCAGCCCTCTGAACGTGCCGCCCTCCCCCCGCCGTCACGCAGTTACACCTCATGATTACTGCTCCCCGCTCTCCCCCGACGTCATCCTGACGGTCGCGCGCCCCCCTCCGCGTGTTGTTTTTTTTGCACACCGGACTGGCACGGGTGCGTTGCCTTACGTGCTTTTCCAATCCGAATGCTGGGGGCCGGTCCTCTTCACCTCTCTCGAGAATCGTACGGGGGGGGTGCTTGGGAGAGGTTTGGCCGCTGTCGATCACCCAGGGGGCTGCTGGGCCTGCCAAAGTACCGTCTCCGCTGCAGCGCTGGCCTGAGTTCAGGATCGACGCCTTGCCCCCGTCGTCCAGAGTGGCGCTCTTCGCGCTCCAGAGGCGGGCCTCGCTGCTGATCGGAGTCTTCTCTGTTCGCTGTCGCCCCCGTCCCCGCCTTCGCCTGCCCCTGGTTTTCCAGCTCGTCCTGCTCCTCCTGCCCCTGGTCCTGCGGAGGCTGCTGCTGCTGCTGCTCCTCCTCCTCTATGCTCACCCTCCTGCTCATCATCCTGCGCGTTCTCCTCGTCGTCCGCTGCCTCCCACACCTTCTCCAATGCGCACAGATCATTATATGCTTGTGCACAACGTGTTGGAGTCATCTGGGGGGGTCCAGTACTTGGTGCGCCGCGGCCGGGGGAGGGAGGATGAATCCTGTGCGATACCACAGCGCCTGTGTGCGGCGGAAGCTCGCCTGCGACTACCGTTATGTTGGGCGCGTCCCCCATACAGGGAATGTCAATGAAAAACACCCCCAAAATATTCAAACATACACCAAAAATGTCAGAACAGATTCCAAAAATGGTCCCCCGACTATTGTTGGACTATTTTTTGACTATGTCTGGGGTATTTGTTTTAATGCTTCGTCGAAAATCCTCCTGTAGGGGGACAGGCCCGACTGGTGGAGAGACAAAGTGCGGATGTGGACCAAGCGGCTCCCGCAACGGGATTGGGACAACCGCGACGTATTTGATGTGCGTGGCGCAATGGACCGACAGCGGGGCACAACGGCAGGTACCAACGGATGGTCTAGGACAGATGTGGCTAGCCTTGGTAGCTGTGGCCCTGGCCGTCGCCGTGGTGTTTGACGCCTTTGAGATGGCAAGGGCCTTCCCCAGTCTGTGGTCAGAGGCGCGACAGATCCACCTCCCTCAGGAGAGCCCGCTGGCGGGGGGAGGGACCATCCCAGTCCCGCAGCTCCGACCGATCACGGTGTTCAAGCTCGTGGTACAGGGTCTGGGCCACAGCTTGCCTGCGATCTTCCTGCTGCGCCGTCTGGTGCAAGGAGTGGTGGCCGCAAAAGGCCCACGGGGCAAAGAAGGGCGCTGCGGTGCACGACGCGGCGGCGCGGGTCATCGCTCTGGAGGCCGGCTAACTCGGCACGCCTTGGGACTGCAACTTGGCGTTCGGCCGGGTACATCCTACGGCAGTAACGGCAGCAACGGAGCAGGTGTGTATGCCCAACCATTTCGCGAATATGCTGGGGAGGCACTGGACCAACCAACGGCGGTGGTTACAGCTACATAGGCCATGCCAAGCAGCCGGAAAGCGTGACCACCCTCCCCCCCACAGGGGGATTGGTCCGTCTTGGCCATTGCCGTTGTGCTCGCGGGTCCGCTGCGAGGCTGCCGCGCGGGAGCCGGGGGTCAGCGCGGCCTTGCACGTCGACGAACGTACGTGGACGTGTCGCACTCTCAACGGTACGCTTGGCTCCGCGTCCATGAACATCTGCAAACAGCAGGGGGCGCGCCGTGACCCGCGGAAGCGGCGGCAGTTGCAGGCGTGGGGTGTCCGCGCGGACATGATCTCCCCAAACTTGACAATCTTGGGGAAGAAACTCACTGGAGGAAAGCACAGGGCCGCCAGCGCCAATGACCCGAAACGCATGTCCAAAGCACAACGACAGGTGGAACGCGCACGGTTGCTGCCGCTCTCTCCCCGACAGCGACAGGAGTTGATAGCTGCAGGGCCGCTGTCTTCGTCTCAGTGCGGGCGGTTCAGTTCCACGCCGCCGCGCGCGGCCACGGACAAACTCCAGGCCGCCGTCCACGGCGCCACTGGAGTACCGCGACGGTCGTTGCCGCACCTCAACTGCCTGGTCGTGGGTCACAGAGTCGACGCGCGATTCCGCGCCCAGCAGGAAACCCTCGTCACCGCAGCGCGGGTTTCATCCAGAGGATCGAACGACGGCAGCACGCTGGGTGGTTGGGCGACGGGACGGATCCTGGCAGGCAGCATCCAACAGCACCTCAGTTGGACGGGGTGGAGGATTATGCCACAGTGGAAATGGCCCACCACGGGATCGACGAGACGATCTCCCTGGACAGCACGGATGAACACTGGCACTCGCCCAAGGTGCCTGGGCCAACATACTACGGGAAGGGTGGCGGCATCACAAATTCCACAGCTGGTTGGGCACGACGCGGAACAACGCGCAGGCGTGCCAGATTGCGCACTGTGAGCGAAGCGGTCCAAGTCCGTCATCGTTCGTGCGCAGGAGCAGTCGTCGATTTGGGCGGCGTTTATGGGGGGCCTTGTGTCACCTGCCGCCTTCGAGTGGGGCCAAGTGAACGACCCTTCGATGGAATGCCCGTGGCGCGCAGGCGCTGCGCATACGGCTGACCACGTGGTGTGAGAGTGTCAAAGTGGGGCGTTCCGGGGCCGGCCTCGCGCCCGCCCCAAGGACGCCCCCCAGAGACGCCTGGGCTGGCCCACGGGCGAAATACGACGGAAGGAGGTGGACAGGCGGTTGTTGTTGTGGGTGGCAGATGTCAGGACCACGCTCTTGGATCACAGGTACGGTGGGGCACGTTTCAGGTACGATTGTGCCGACGGGGACCTCCAGCCGCCAAGTTGTTCACAGGTGCGGCGGTGCTCGTCGCAGGTGTTCTTGTGCCGGCGCCGACCTCCAACCGCAACGTTGGTTCACAGGTGTGGCGGCGGTCATCGCAGGTATTTTGCGCCGCTGGGACCTCGAACCACAATTTGTACTGGTTACAGGCTTGCGCTGACGGGGACAACCTACCGCAATGCTGGTTCGCAGTTACGGCGGTGCTTATTACAGGCATCATTGTGCCAACGGGGACCTCTCACCACCGTTGGTGCTCGTCACAGGTATTCTGCGCCGACGGGGGCCTCCGACCGCAATGTTGGTTCACGCGTGGGGCGGTGCACGTCGCCGATATTTTGGCGCCGACTGGGACATCCCGCCACAGGGGATTTCCTACCGGAACTTTGGGTCACAGGAGTGGCGGTGTTTTTCACATGTATGTTTGCGCCAATGGGGACCTCTGACCATGGCCTTTGGTTACAGGTGCGGTGTTGTTGGGCAGTTCATTGCCTTCGATCAGAATTGTGAGTAAGAGGTACGGCGGTGCTCGTCACATGTGTATGTGTGTTTGCGCCGACGGACCTCTCCCCTACGGGCCCAAAGTTACTCTGCTTGGGGCTTTCCTTCAAGCGAGGTCATCGTGAAGGCCTTCGTCTTTGCCAACATACTGGGGGGCCCACATATGCTACGACATTCTGCGGCGGACAAGGCCAACGCCGTAATGGGAAAAGGGTTCGTGGGAGGGGTAAGATGTCAGATATGGCGCGAGCGCGCCTAGCTTGACTCACCCCCCGTCCCTTGTCCCCCCCCTTGACACTCGACCATGCCCCCGCACCCCATCCGCCTTCCCTCCTTCCATTCCTACTCTCACCAGTCTTCGGCGCAGGTTTCGACACGCTCCCACTTCTGGAGCGCGCTGCCCTTGGGCAAAGGTATGTTGGCACAGTCTTGTCCAGAAGTGATTCGGCCGACATCGGCACTCTCGAGTCCGCTCCCACTGACGCTTCCCTGTTCCTCTCCACACTCCTGACCACGTTTCCTTATCCTGTCCTTCTCGCCTGTTGATGTCCCATCCCTTGACGTATCTGCCCTGTCGTTGCCGTCCTTTTCTGTGTTGTGAGGGCGATTGCGCTTTATGCGCGTATCGAAAGCACACAGACGCCTACATACGCAGAAAGAGGACTTACATGTCATGCATACGGTGTGCTTCAAACAGACGTCCTCCAGTTCGCTGGGTACTACGATGCTGTCCCCGGGCTACAACGCACTGGCCTCAGCGCTCCGTGGCTCGCCCATCGCAGCCGCGAGTTGTCCAGCGCACAAGAGATTGAGGGGGAAATGTGTGACCCGGAGCTGGAGGGATGTGGAGGGGGAGGAGGAGGAGGAGGAGGAGGAGGAGGAGGAGGAAACGGAGGAGGAGGAGGAGGAAACGGAGGAGGAGGAGGAGGAGGAGGAGGAGTGGAAGAAATCTCCGGAGTCAGGACAGGCGGATAAAGATGGGGAGGGGGAGGAGAAGCAGAATACAGAGTAGGAGCATGAGGATGAGCTTCAGAAGGAGGGCCATAACGAAGACGAGGTAGTCAGGGGGATGAGATGGACGGAGCTTGGGAAGACGACACCTCCTGACCACTGGCCTGCCGGGAAGAATTGCTTGGGCAAACCGGATTCCGCATTCTTGCCTCTGGATTGGCAGGGCTCGGTTGCCCTTCTCACCTGGTCTGCTCTCGGGTCTTCTGCAAGAGGAGGGCGGTAGCCTTCTAGAACTTGTGATCCAAACACACTGCGATTACACCGTGGCCACTTGCTCATTTCTGTGATTACGCAGCGTCAGCTGTCCTAGAATATCGTGGACCACCTACTGGTACTCGTGATGGCACTCGCAGGGGAATTTGCTGAGGTAGTGGTGCTCCGCTCGGGACAGTTTGTGGGGGCTGCGCTTCATAGATTGCACCGTCTGAGAAGTGGTATTGATTGAGTGTTCGGTGGCGTGTGCTACAGTTGACACCCAAACCCCGCCGCCGGATTCGGTTGCAGCCTTTCCACTGTTGATGACGCCGGACCCACCCCCTAATCTTGGAGTTGTTGGAACATATGATGAGTCTGCTTCTGGACGAGGTTCCTGGGACCTCCGCTGCACAGCGGGGGCTTGGGCGTGGCCCTGCCCTGGGACGTCTCTCCGGATGTCGGCCAGGGCCGACAGCCTTGCCGATCAATGCTTGGCGGCCAACTACAAGCCTCGCTGGGTGCTGTATGCGCAACCTGCTCATGACCATGCACATGCACAACGGTGAGGACTGAGGAGGACTGAGGAACGGCCGAGGAGATTAAGTGACGACTACCGAGAACAGGAGCGGGACGGGGACTAGCACCGTGAGCAAGAGGAGGAGGAGGAGGAAGAGGAGGAGGAGGAGGAGTACAAGGAGAAGGGAGAAGGGAGAAGGGAGGATGAGGGGGAGGAGGGCCAGAGTAAATGCAGGACACATCAACGATTTTGCCACAGACTCTCTTGTCCAAGGGCTCTCTGATATCAAAGATATCCTTTCCACTATGGGGAGCGCCCCTTCTTAAACGAGTGCCCCACTGACCTGCCATTAGAGCGATAGTTTATGTCCTAACCATCCTGTGGTGTTGGGTCCTCGTTTTGAAGGGACAGCGCCCCGCGTACCGAAGGCCCCCAATGGCAGCGTTCGCATGCGTCCCCGCCACCCACTTCGGCACACCCTTCACGTGCGTCGTGGCTTCATGGGGAGCTCCACCGAAAGGCCCCAGTTGGCGGTGTCCGCACGCGTGATACATGTCGGCACACACCTCACGCGCTTTGTGGCCCCATGGGGAGCTACACCGAAGGCCCGCAATGGCGGTGTTCGAATGCGTCCCCGCCACCCATTTTGACACACCCTTCACGCGCTTCGTGGCTCCATGGGGAGCTCTACCGAAGGCCCCCAGTGGCGCTGTTCGCATGCGTCCCCGCCACCCACTTCGGCACATCCCTCACACGTTGCGTGACCCCATATGGATCTCCAGGGAAGCCCCCCTTGCCTTGCGGTATTCGCATCCGCATACGGTTAGGTCCTTCGCCAGGATAATTTGAAACGGGGCCGCCTACGCCCTTCTGGGCATGAGAGGTGCCAAAGTGATGCAGGGTCATAAAATGCAAAACATGCTAGCGAGGGCTCCCAGTTTGAAAACAAACCGCCTTCTACCCGTGAAGCCGTGGCACATGTATTGGTTGCGGGTCGTGACGATTGTGAACATCGCAAAGAGGTTGCGTATTGAAAGGCAACGAATTCCATTTGTGCAAGTGTGAAAGGGTTGCCGAGTTCGTGGCAATATGTTTTGAGCTCCCAAAGGAGAACCCAACTTCGGAAATGAGGCAACTTGCCATCCATATTGTAGCTGGGAACGTGTCAGAAGAATGCGCGCGGCACAAGACGCGAGTCACACGTTTTACAACAAGCGCCTACGACCCATCTGTGTGCGCGTGGGAAGCGTTTAGTTACGACAACGGTGTGTGACGCAAGAGCAAAAGCCACCATTAGAAATCCATGTGCGCTGCACGCGTGAATTTAGACGGAAGTATGAAAGCAGTGTGTGCGGCGCCAAGGTTAGAAAGGCGGCCGTTTTTCATCCGCGCAGTTGTTTGGACGTTTTAGACGAATGTGCACAGAGCCAGGGCGACAGCCACGTGTTGAAAGCGGGACGCTTCCCATCAGAACAGTTGACAGAGATCCCAAGATTCGAGAACATTATTTGTAGCGGAAGTTCAGGCGGGACGGCAAGTCTTCCAGGCAATCTTCACAGCACGCTTGGTGCGAGGAAGGGAGATGGAGGAGGAGGAGGAGAACAGGGAGCCGGAGGACAACATTACATCTGGGACTCATGTGTTGCAACACGCCTGGTCGCAGGATCTGTCCTTACAAGTTCTTGCGAACATGTGTTTCATTGCGGGAAGCGCCCCCTTTGAAAGGCGGGCGCCCCGTACCCACCGGTCGTTGAAAGTAGGTATTTTTGGATTCCCAGATCCCAATCTACTTTAAGCGCCTTCCTATTTCAAGAATCTATATTTTTTGTTTTTTTTGGGGGCGGGCGCAAACCTAATCTACTTCTAGGGTTTGGTTGTCACTTCCCTGGGCGACGCTGGTCGCTCGGCCCCTCGGCTGGCCCCATTCCTTGGTTTTGATTGTTTTGTTTGTTTTCGCTTGTCCGTCGGCTGCACTGGTCGCCCCAGTGTCGCCCGCCGCCCCGCGGTCGCTCGGCCTGGCCCCACTATTTGGTTTTGTTTGTTTTTGTTTGTTTTCGCTTGCCCGTCGGCTGCACTGGTCGCCCCAGGCTCGCCCACCTCCCCGCGGTCGCTCGGCCCCTCGGCTTGCCCCATGCAATGGTTTTGTTTTTTTTTGTTTTGTTTTTTTTCGCTTGTCCGTCGGCTGCACTGGTCGCCCCGGGCTCGCCCACCTCCCCGCGGTCGCTCGCCCCCTCAGTTTGCCCCATTCCTTGGTTTTGTTTGTTTCTGTTTGTTTTCGCTTGTCCGTCGGCTGCACTGGTCGCCTCAGGCTCGCCCGCCGCCCCGCGGTCACTCGGCCCCTCGGCTGGCCCCATTCCTTGATTTTGTTTGTTTTTGTTTTTTTTCGCTTCTCCGTCGGCTGCACTGGTCGCCCCAGGCTCGCCCGCCGCCCCGCGGTCGCTCGGCCCCTCGGCTGGCCCCATGCACTGGTTTTGTTTGTTTTTGTTTGTTTTCGCTTGTCCTTCGGCTGTACTGGTTGCCACAGGTTCGCCCGCCGCGTCTCGGTCGCTCGGCCCCTCGGCTGGCTCATTTTTTTGTTTTGTTTGCTTTTGCTTGTTTTCGCTTGTCCGTCGGCTGCACTGGTCGCCTCAGGCTCGCCCGCCGCCCCGCGGTCGCTCGGCCCTTCGGCTGGCCCCATTCCTTGGTTTTGTTTGTTTCTGTTTGTGTTCGCTTGTCCGTCGGCTGCACTGGTCGCCCCAGGCTCGCCCGCCGCCTTTCGGTCGCTCGCCCCCTCGGCTGGCCCCATTCCTTGGTTTTGTTTGTTTTTTGCTTGTTTTCGCTTGCCCGTCGGCTGCAATGGTCGCCCCGGGCTCGCCCGCCGCACAGCGGTCGCTCTGCCTTTCGGCTGGCCTCATTCCTTTGTTTTGTTTGTGGTTGATTGTTTTCGTTTGTCCGTCGGCTGCACTGGTCGCCACAGGCTCGCCCGCCGCCTTTCGGTCGCTCGACCCCTCGGCTGGCCCAATTCTTTGGTTTTGTTTGTTTTTGTTTGTTTTGGTTTGTCCGTCGGCTGCACTGGTCGCCTCAGGCTCGCCCGCCGCCCTGCGGTCGCTCGGCCTCTCGGCTGGTCGATTTCTGTGTGTTTGTTCGTTTCGTTTGTTTTCGCTTGTCCGTCGGCTGCACTGGTCGCCCCAGGCTCGCCCGCCGCCCCGCGGTCGCTCGGCCCCTCGGCGGGCCCCATTCATGGTTTTGTTTGTTGTTGTTTGTTTTCGCTTGTCCGTCGGCTGCGCTGGTCGCTCCAGGCTCGCCCGCCGCCCCGCGGTCGCTCGGCCTCTCGGCTGGCCCCATTATTTGGTTTGGTTTGTTTTTGTTTGTTTTCGCTTGTCCGTCAGCTGCACTGGTCGCCCCAGGCTCGCCCGCCGCCCCGCGGTCGTTCGGCCCCTCGGCTGGCGCAATTCGTTGGGTTTGTTTGTTTTTGTTTGTTTTCGCCTGTCCGTCGGCTGCAATGGTCGCCCCAGGCTCGCCCGCCGCCCCGCGGTCGCTCGGCCCCTCGGCTGGCCAGATTCGCTGGTTTTCTTTGTTTTTGTTGGTTTTCGCTTGTCCGTCGGCTGCACTGGTCGCCCTGCGCACGCCCGCCGCCTTTCGGTCGCTCGGCACCCCGGCTGGCCCCAGTCCTTGGTTTCGTTTGGTTTCTGTTTGTTTTCGCTTGTCCGTCGGCTGCACTGGTCGCCTCAGGCTCGCCCGCCGCCTTTCGGTCGCGCTGCCCTGCCCCTCGGCTGGCCAAATGCTTAGTTTTGTTTGTTTTTGTTTGTTTTCGCTTGTCCGTCGGCTGCGCTGGTCGCTCCAGGCTCGCCCGCGGCTTTTCGGTCGCTCGGCCCCTCGGCTGGCTCATTTCCGTGGTGTTGTTTGTTTTGGTTTGTTTTCGTTTGTCCGTCGGTTGTACTTGTGGCCCCAGGCTCGCCCGCCGCGTTTCGGTCGCTCTGCCCCTCGGCTGGCCGAATTCAATTGTTTTCTTTGTTTTGTTTGTTTTCGCTTGTCCGTCGGCT